AAACAAATAGATACTGAATATTGATGTGTTATTTTCTCTAAAGATTTCATTCTAAACAAAATTTTATTAACTATAGAAACACTTCACTTCACCTCGACAACAGGATTAATTAATAATGCTTGTACTAATTAAAACATTATTCATAAGGTAAGTGTTTATTGTTTGTTTTTCCCCCTGAATATAAGTTGATTAGATGTATGTTTCTTAGTTTTCTATGATGAATTATGCAATCTATATCTATATGGATGTAATTAATTTATCTTAAACCAATAATACACATAATACATATTCACGAATGAATTATTCTAAGTTATATATATATATATATATATATATATATATGCATTTTTATTCACATTATATATATTAATAGTCTATTCGACTAGTTTAGGTCAATCATGTGATTCCATCTACATCTAGGCCTTATCTCTAACTCGATCATATAACACATGATACGTGATGGTATTTTGATCCATCAACTTAATTGTACATTTTTTTAAGGCTCAATTCAACATGAAATAAGATATTCATTAGGCTATGATTGATTTGATCTTTATTTTTGTTTTATATATATGTGTATATATTCCGATCATTTATCTATTTTGATCTTATTTGAAAATCATAGTAACAATGATCTATATTGTGAATATGATTTTCTAAACAAATTAATCTTGTTTATTCATGTTTATTGTGAAGTTAACAACAAAAACACAAATCATAATGAGAAAATTGTGAAGTTTTGTAAATAATACGTATATAAAGTATTTAAGTATTATAAACAATATTTTATCATTAGTCATGAATTAATTTAATCTAATTTTACTTTTTAATGAAAATGATGAATCATATTGTGTTAGTTGAATATACCATCTATTTAGAACAGAAACAATTAACAAATAGGAATATTTTTTAACAAATCTTAAAATTAAATGAGTTTCAAAAGGGGTTCTTGTGGATATTATTAGTAATTTTAATAGTTGAGATCATGAATCGCTTGAAACTAGACCATCATGGGAAACCTGGAAACACTGGATGACTGTTTAGTCCTCCTAAGCCCCACGAGTGGTCTAGACATTAAGCATTCGCATAGGAGACCGATAAGTCCTGGGTTCGAATCTTGTGAGGTTGGATCGTAGATGTGCACTGCTGAAGAATCCCATACTAAGACGAAATGGCAATTCAATGCTTCCAGGTTTCCTATGGTGATCAAGCTTCAAGTGACTCATGAATTTAACTATAAACTTAATAAACATTTACTTTCCACATTGAAAGCGGGGAGAAAATCATTTTACTTTTAGTTATTAGATGATTAAATTAATATTTATAATCTAGTTGTAGAATTTCATACTAAGTTAGCTCATATTGTAGGAACTCAGTATTACATGTATAGTGGATCATTTTCAATAAAAGCTAATAATAATGATGTGAAGCTTTGATGAGAATGTATTCCGATACTTTGTATACACAATTGATTAGTTGTTTAAAAGAAAGAATATAATATTGATTTCAAGAGAACATTTTTATTAGTTCAATGATAGAAGTCAGTGAAGAGAAGATTAGTTTAGTGGTAATTTGGTTATAATGTAAATATATCATAACGTTCAAGGTGAATAACCGAATTGACGTTGTTACTGTTTGATCGCTTAATATCAACTTCTTTAGCTGATAAATGCAGATACAGTCAATATCATCTGTTAACAAAGTTTACCATAGTACATGATTTACCGCTATATTACACTTATTGTCAGTGTTACAATGGGAATTAATAGTGCAATGGATGGGTTACATTTATTTACTTAATATTACATTTATTCAGTTAGAGTTGGGCAAATGTTTTAAATAAAGAATTCTGTGAACGTAGATACATTGGACGCATGACATATAGCAAAATGTCTTTCTAAAATTAAGATAATGACGTGGATGAGTAGTATATTATGATCAGGAATCATTTAGCTCATTACGAAACCCTAAGTTTACGTTTATTAATTGAAATGTGAAGTTTGAACCATAGAAGTTCGTACATGAAAACACATGTTCGCAGATATAAGTTAATCAAAGACGAGAATCATAAAACATGTGCTTCATCTGTGTTGAATATAATTAAATCAATCATGAATGTTTCGAGTGTTTCTGTAACCCGCTATCATCTCAGGTCTGTTCAGTTCCATCTGTAAATATTGATATTTGTTTCAACTGGAAGTGTAAGTATATCAGTTTGGGAATTAAAATATAGTCCAAACAATGAAATCTTCAAAACAGCGAAAATACATTTTTCAGTACAGAAATCTAACGTCTACATTCACTAGTTAACTCTGTAGAAATTAATTACATATCTAGTGTCGATAATTAAGATGAATTAAGTTCTTAGTATTTCTTAGGTATCATACTGGTTAGATCACGAGTTGATCGTGCCTAAATCCTGGGATAGAATCCCGGATGAGGGGTTATGAATGTGCAGTGCTAAGGCGTCCTATACTAACACGAAACAGCCATCTAGTGATTCAAGGTTTTCAATAGTGGTTCAGCAAAAACAAGTTCGTGATTTAAACTGCAAAAATTCTATGATCTCCAAAATATCCCTCTATACCAATAATATCATACTGAATTTGATCTAACTCCGCCTGCAGCTCTCCTAGGGTTACTGCCGGTCCTAAGCTTAAAAAAGGAGGAGGGATGGGTATATGGTCAAAATCCCCATCCCATAGAAAACAACCTTGCTAAGAAGTGCTAACCAGAATAAAGAAATCGAACAACTTAAACTCTGTCCTCCGAGTTGAAGAAAGAATTACGACACTTCATGATGAAAGCCGAGATTATTCGGAAGTCACAAGACCAATACCCCTCCTAAAAACCAGAACTGCAATTAATATAGGTACATGGAATTTGATCTCAATAGTCAATTTCTGAGACTGAATATCTAATGATTCCATAAAATAATAATCATCTCATAATATTCAACTTGTATTAGGCATTATTTATATCTCTATGTTATTTGTGAGATCATAGTTTTTATCTGAATTTCTTGTCTGGATTGTATTCGAAATCATAGATTAGACAGCTCTCCTAGAAGTTAATACCCAATACGTAGTTGTATTTTTTTTACATTATGATCTTCAAAACATTGTATACTAATTTTAGTTTGGTGTTCCCGTTTACAAGCAAACCATTATGGTTACATATGTATAGACCTCTTATATAGTTGCACAAAAGAAGGAAATAGGAACTGATACAGATTCATATGGAGGGACGTGCAAGTAGGATTAATGTAGAAATTCATTATTTATTTCGTCAAGCATGTTGTCAGAAAGTTATTTAGTGGTGTTAGACGTACGAAGGCGGTTATCACTTCTTGGTTGCCCACAATATAGAAGGATATTTCTTCTTAAAAGACTTAGGAAGGAAACTGGATTAGTAGTGATTGTACCGACCTGGGAGTATGACTACGAAGTAAAAGAGAGAACTATCTGAGGGCTGTCACATGCTTCTTTTCTGTGGATTTTGTGTTATATAAACTTCGTACGTCAAAAAGCCTAACTGATGGAGATAGACATATATGCGTTAAGATACGGTGCTGCATTTTTAAGGTCAGCCTTTTCTAACCTCTTCCTTCCGTTGTGTGCAGGTGGCATCGCTGCAGATGCTAGTTGTCTGAGGAAAACACCTTACTAACGTCATACCTCAGTACAGTCAGCCGTACGTCTTCGTAATTTGATTATGAATTTGCTGCTTTTAGTTTTACCGTTCTACTGATCCGATTGGGATGGTATTATTCCAGCTAAAGTGGATCTGGTGGGCCATTACGACAGACAAGCATATTGTCAACAGACTTAAAATTAAGGATTACTTATTCAGAAATTTGTTTTCTACAAACTGCCTTCATTTGTTCATGTAATATTTAAACTCATATCAATAATTCCAAACTTATATCAAATATGTTCAAGTTAGTTGCCACTTAGTCACAACGTCGAACCTGGTACGTATGTACATTAGTTCAAGTTGCTACACTTCATTAACATGGGTATGAAATTGTCAGGCTAAATCTGGTAATAGTAGAGGTAATAATAGTATCAGTGGTAATCGGAAAAATATGCGACCATGGTACTACACTTCGATCATCTCACTCGTTCAATGTTAATTCTTAAGTTGTTTATTCTATTATCATTAACTGATTTCTTCAGTATTATGTATGGTATCGTCAGAAGCAGGATCTAAATTAATTTCTGTGCGATTGACCTAAATATAGTGTGAGGTTAAGATTTGTCAATAAAGAATTTTCAATAAGACGATTTATAAGTATGAAAAGGATGTAACAAAAATCCTATCTGTACTTAGATGAGTGAAATTCTGTTTCTTTTATGATGCTATCGGCATCTGAAAATAATCCTTTTAAGACTAACATATATATTTTTTACCCTATTCATTATACATTTGGAGAAATACTTTTGATATTTTTGCAGACTCTAATTGTCGTCTGAAAAGTGGCTTCACAATTATTAGGTAATTCTTAGTACTACCACTCAACTTTATGGTAGAATTGTAGTGAACGTGAACACAAGTGAGGACAACCAAATGTATTTGAATACAAAATTACATAATCTATTAGTAAAATCTGAAAACCATACAGTAAATACTTCATTTGCAAATTGTTAATCAATTGTCTCAGACTTGATTACTCCTTCGTTTCCACATTACAGAATGAGTTCCACAATTGTAATTATCAACTACCTGATAACCTATTCAATTATTATAGTTAGATTATAGTTTACCTATTCAAATGTTTTTACTAATAAAATGCCAATAGCTGAAATGAAACAACAAACTACATGATATCGATTAAGTCAACGAAATTATAGTTAATTTGATCGATAGAGTTTGATTAGTTCTAGATAACAGTAGACAATTAGTCATTAGTTGACCAGCAATGATCGATTGGTGTAATCTAGTATATATTTTCTATAAACCAATCTATAATTGATTAGCAAACAAAAAAAAGAAACAACCAATTTATAAACATAATTTTAATAATATTATTGGCAATAATAATAATTATAATAATAGTACATAATAAAATCTGTATTGTTTAACATAACTTAAAATAGAGTTAGAATAAGAGAGAAAAAAAAACGATGAATAATTGAGAACAAAGAGGAGGGGAAGGGAGACTTAATTCACAGAGTATATTTAAGGGGAATAAGTGAGGAAATGGGGGATAGAAATAAATAAATCTGCGTTGTGTTAAACAATGTCGTTTTTTGTGTTTTTTTTTATTATTTAATGATTGTTCCATCAAATAATTGAAAAAAAAGTTATTATCCAATTTTTTATGATGCATTCTCATTATTCAACGAATTGATCTTCTGAAAGTTGAAAAAGAAAACAGGAGAAAAGTTAATGCATAATAATACTACTATTCATAATCATTCATTTATTATAGAAAATAAAAATACAGCATCGCCCAACAAGATGGTTTTATGTATTTTGTTTCAATGATATAATAGTCAGGTTGTTTGGGTAAAGATTCAAGAGGCATTAGATAAGTGTTTTGTTTTAGTTCAAGGATTCATCAACAACGTATGAACTACATGACCTCCTTCCCATATAATATATGAAAGGACCTTTGATTTTGTGTCAAACATTATTCCACCTATTAGGATCATCACTTCATATCATTATATTGAAAATGATCTCATCAATGAAAATTTATAAAAGATCCAATAAGTATGGAAGAACTATAAGAAATAGAATATCTGATTATCCTAGTGAAAAAAAAACGAATGATTGATACTATTATGTTTAAGTTGTAAACAAATGATGAGAAACCAAGAAATAAAAGAAATTCACATCATTTTGCTACGTTCATTGTTCTTGTTTTAGTCAATAAAAAAACTACATAAAAGTTTAACAACATAATAATTTCTAAGTGATATTCATAACAATAGATTGATCTCAGCTAGACTAATACCATTGAAAACGATGTAACATTCGGCAGCTATTTCACCCTAATATAGGACTTCTTAATAGCGCACACTCATGACTCATCACAAGGAACGAATTCAAGATCATCAGGTCTCATAACAAACTCTTAAATATTGTTAGATAAATAGGCTAATGATATATATATATATATATATATATATATATATATATATATATATATATATATATATATATATATATATAAACTAAGTAAATAGATATACATATATTTTCTTGATTTAAATAACTATTAACTTGGATGAAATATAAACTTATAGCAGACAAAGAAACTACTTTTATTGAAAATACTAAGAATGGTTGAATAAATACGGATACAGGCAAGTTGTATAGAGAATACTTTGTAACCTTGACCGTGACGAAAATAAGACCAACCTACAACCTATATATATGCCGTGATGATTCATCTTAGTTACTTGTATAAAAATTCAATTAATAAACGAACAAAAATTTCAGCATAGCAACTAAAATATTATTATTTAGATTGATAAAAATAAGAGAATGTTTAAAGCTTCAAATTTCTGGTATTTTTGTGCAAGGTATTTAGACGAGCTTTGTCGACAGTTCCGAGTTAATTACACAAGTCAGATGGAAATGAACATGTTAATGATAGATCAGACTAGTATTGATGATGGTAGGTATCCGATAGGGACGCCACTCGCAATTGGCACCTTATATGAGGATTCCCTAAACAATCTCATCTGAAACCCGACCAATTGCTCGTAAGTTGATTGCTTTTAAACTCTAAGTTAGACTAGGTTTTTTTCTTATAAACAGGAAACAATCAACAAAACTATTTCTCTTCTGCTTATATCCTTCATTTGTATACTGTAGACAGTATCTTAGTCTAATTTGTAAGCCTTAATCAACATACTGAAGACACATATGAAATTAGACCTTAATGTTTGCCTTAAAAATAAATATATGTATTTCCACTGTATTATTATTATTATTATATTTCTCAAGTATTCTCAATCAATATAAAGAGTTATTTAAAGAAAAATATGCTCTCTTGGTGTTATGTGTATTGAACACATCCTGTTTTGTTTTTATCCCACATGTCAGTTAAGAACACATGCAAGCAAATAATATGATATAAACCATATTTGAATACAAAGGGATATTGTGTGTATGTGCAGAGAAGTTTTATACTTGTCTGTAATCTATGTAAACATGTTCTGATACACAGAAACACATGTATGCACAATACAAATAATAAGAGGGAGAATAAACAGTCAATTTAATTAGGAAAACATAAAAAACCAGATGGATAAATATGTGAAAAAGAAAATTACCACCATATGGAATGAACATATACAAGAGAAATGAGGAAGGTTAAATCCTATTAAACATAGTCCTTTAATTAATAAGGAATGAAATATACAAAAACAGGCACGATCCTCTCTTTCTGCCAATCAACTATTTCAGATTGGCAGGGGGTTAAGTTTAATCACGAATATATACACAAAGGAAATCTAACTATGCATCTGTCTTTATTGTTAAGATGAATGAGTCATAAAAAATATATTTCTTCTAATAGCTAGTGGTATGGAGAGTATTTGGGGGCAAAATAAAGAAATAACGGATGAAGTGTTTTCAGGTTATGACCTTGATGATAATCTAACTTGTAAAGCAAGCAAAAATCTCCTGAATGTATCATAACAAAAAGGAAGTATCCATTTTACAAACATTTAAGCTGACTTCAAGTATATAACTAATTCTATAAAAAATTATTTCTTCACAATAATCATGTATTTTTTGTGAGAAATAGTGACTAGTGCATTTCAGTCGTATCACGCTGGATGATTATTGTTAGACTGTATCATAAAATAGGCCGAATTTAGAAATACGGGCTGCTTAATTTTAAATTGTACTGGCGTATAAAGTAATTGAGTTTACAATGAAATGAGGAAGTTCTGTATTGTTGTTCCATACTCTATATCAACGTTACTATGTAGTAGCAAAGTTATCTATCCTGTTGTTTACAAATGGCATCAAAATGCAGAGACCTATCAGAGAATGGTTAGAATGCACTAATTGGCTGAACCATAGGAAGGTGTAATGTAACCACTACCAAAGGCTTTTGGATTTTCTGAGTAGTTTGTTTGTAAGATTTCGGATCTTGGGTAAAGGTGCATTCAGAATATTACACACGATGTATGTGAGACCGAATTTGGAATATAAGATTCAAGAAGCAAGTAGATATAATTGATCGAGTTCATGGGTTAGGAACTACAACAGAGAGTTCTTTTGACCTATAAAATAAAAATGGACGCTTAGTCCATTTCCGTAGGCTAAGAATTGGTCTAATTTAGGGTTTAATGTGTGGTTAAAGATAACTGTGATATTAATGTGTTCTATCTACTTCTTGAATCTGACTGATAATCAAAGAGATTTTTCGAAATTTCAAGAACCAAGATCAATTTTTCAGTTTTGCTTATTGTGTTGGATATGCATTACTTGGAATACAATTCAATAAATGATGCAAACATTTTCTGTCAGAATTTTCCGAACGACACCGGATAATCACCATGGGTTTCTTGACCATCGATTCTTACCACTGAATAATATAAACTGAATTCAGTGCCAGGTAGTAGGTACACAGAATATAAAACTAAAATGAAATAAGTGTCAAGCACTGGTTGGGGTTTTCAACCATTTAAAACAAATAAACAGTTTGGAGTTCGAAAATGACCTTTCAATTGTACAATTTAACTATGAAACTAACAATCAATAATAGGTTTATATTTAAACCTGTACTTAACATTTAAAGGAAAGAGTAAAATAAAATAAAAGTTACCTTTATTGTTTTTGTTTCTTCCTGAAAACTATGAATTACTTCATAGATTGTCGTCGTCGCTTAACAGCAAAATAATCTATAAAATAAGCGTGGAAAAAAAGAAAATATTTCTATATCATTATCAAGTCATTAAAGAAAATATTCAATAATTATCAAGCATTTAAAACAATATCGGCCTCCTTAGCAGTGCTCATCCGCATCCCTACTAATCTTATATTATGAAAAAAATAATTGTGCACTGCTCATTGATTTTCAGTAGTATCTGAAATGTCACTAGTTGAAATCATGAGTCAATTGAAGCTAGACCATCATGGAAAACCTGGAAGCATTGGACGGCCGTTTCGTCCTAGTATGTTGAAGTTAGACATTAACACTGTTGGATGCCAACTCAGTGGTCAAATGGTTAAGCGCTCGTGCGCGAGACTGATAGGTCCTGGATTTGAGTCTCGCGGGGGGCGGGATCGTGGATGCGCCCTGCTGAGAAGTCCCAGACTGGGACGAAACAGCCATCCAGTTCTTCCAATTTTTTCATGATGGTCTAGTTCCAATTAACTCATGATTCCAACTAATGAAATTTAATATTTGTCCAGAGTTCAAGGTATATATAATGAAAATAATACAGTATTTTCTGTCTGATTGTGAATTTTCACTACTAGACTATTTCGAGCTTTTTTTCTAAGAAAAAAAAAACATATTTCAGTCAGTTGGTCAATCACAACATAGAACCTAGTACGTATGTTGATTGATTCAGATTTCCATAATCCCATTAACACATATATATGAAATTGTCAGACTGAATCCTATAATACTAGAAATAATAACAGTATAATGGGGTAAGGGACAAGATTAAATACTGAAGATATGATTCCACACGAAGAAAAGTTATGAGATATTTAGAATCTAAGAATTTGAAGAAAAAGAAAAACTGAATACACCTGAGCCATGTCATTTAGATACTCTAACTATATTTACACTAAACTATTATCATTTCTTGTAATTGTATGAATTTATTTCTATTCTCTTAGTTCTATTGTTCCTTACATTTTTGTTTAAAATTATCAAATGATCTTGTGATTTGATCTTTTTTTTGAAGTTTAAGTAAATAATAAATATATCACATTATTAAATTTACAAAGATAGATTGAATTAAAGGTCTTCAGTTTTTCTGGTAATATAAACTATTACATATTGGATTATTATTAAATAATATGAATCAATTAAATTTAACCAATATCAGTTAAAAGAACTTGGTAAAACAAGGCGAATTCATTGAATAATTTTTAACTGATTACATCATTTTGTGAATAGTTAATACCGATTTATCTGTTTTGTTTACATATCATTTTAAACTCAACTAATGTAAATTTCAGATGGGTTTTGTGGATATTATAGTAAGATCATGAGTCAGTTGAAGCTAGACCACAATGGAAAACCTAGAAGTACTGGATGACCGTTTCGTCCTATTGTGGGACACTTCAACAATGTTTGATTACACATTTTTTGTTATTCTGAAAATATCAATAAACTATTACATGAATTACAGACAAATTTAAGAAATATTTATAAGTGCTGGGAATTGTGGTAACTTTTGAATGACGCTTACATAATCTATTTTACTAATGTACTTATATTTGAATAAGTATCATTTCGTGATATTCCCAGTCATTATATCATAATAAACACTGATATTATTCATCTTCTTGTTAAGTAACTGTACAAAATTATCGTTATTAAATCTTATCCAATTACCATTCTAGTAAATAATTCATAACAATTATAACATCTACTTTTAATAAAATTATTAAATAAAATTTAAAGATAATTGTAAGGGGTTGTAAAAACTGTTGGATTTCATTGAGATCATGAATCAATCTAAGTTAAACCATCATTGAAAACTTGAAAGCACTGAACGGCCGTTTCATCTTAATGTGGATTTCGCGTGCGAGACAGACATTTCTGGATTCGATTTCTGCATGGGGATTCGTGGACGAACACTATCTAATACAAGTTTATATCACAATTGATTGATTACTGGGTGGTGATCAATGTCATGCGTGTCAAGGTCCAGGGTTTCGTGTCGACTAACTCCAACCACCATCTAATCATAAATTTATATACAAGTCTATGAATCATATTAAATGTATCATTCGTAGCAAATGTTGGTTACAACAGTGAATCAATTTCAGTTTTCATCTGTAATCAAATTAAGTTTGTGAAAACAAGTGCATAAACCAGTGTGTATTACTATCATACTTAGAACTTAGACATCATGCATTATTTTTTACTGAGTAATTATTCACACTGTCGACCATCTTTATTCAATACAGAATTAGCTTTCATTTATTATCAAACCCTAATGAAACAACTGCTCAACACTTTTGAATTTCAAGGTTTTTCTAGTTGATGCTTGAGATATTTTCACAGTAATTCTCCACATAGTGGATTGAATTATAGACATATGAATAATACAGAACTATAAATTAGTTTTAATGATCTTATAATTTCGTGTTCATAAACTAAATTTTTTTTTACAATAATTAACTAAATATACAGGAACATCAGTGTTAATATCAGCTATTTTTAAAAATAAATTTTACTAGTTAGCCAATTAGAAAAAGAAAGGTAGGAGGAAAGTGACTAGACCAACAAAACACATTGATTTCCGATATTATTTTAAGGTGATTAACTGAAAAAAAATAGATAAGTATAATACAATTCTAGAAAAACTATTGAATTACCTGTTACTTTAGGCCCAGATTTCTTTAAACTTAATCGATCAGGTTTTATCAGCTTAACTGAATGTTGAGAAGAGGGATTCGAACTTGATGGTAACATTATATTATTACGATTATTATCTGAACGGATAATGATTGGATTCACAGGTAATGTTGTCGTTGTTATTTCTGATAACTTTTCAGTAACTTGTGATATGTTGCTGAATTTGTATGGTGTTGATGATGATGTTGGCGGTGGTTGATTCAGAGTTATTGAGATAGTTGACTCTGTCGTTGAAGGAAAGTTCATTTCAGATTTTTGATTATCATTTAATAAAGTATCAGTATTAGATAAGTTATATGATGAATTAAATGAATAAGTGAAATTTTTGAGTTCACTATTTGTAGACTTTTTATAGAGTTCCATGCGTGTTTTTTGCGCTACTGACACTGGAAGACGTCGAAATGCTTTTAATTTACGCGGAGATTTTATATAGAAACTTGGAGGTGATTGAACAGGTTCTAAAATGATTTCATTTGTAGAATTTTTCTGTAAATTTCCACTATGTAATTGATGTACAGAAAGTGGTTTCCGAATTTTGTTCTCTAATACAATATTGGGTGGTTGAAAGTTCCATTTGTTTTGGAAACGGTCTAAATCTTTACGTATAATTGTCTCCAAAGTTTGTTGAATACGTATACATGATACAGGTTCACCAAACAACCTTCGACATAATTGAACCGGTGCAGTGATACTAGCAGTAGCTGACATTCCCAAAGAGAAAAGGTAACAACTGACCGTTACAACCCAGGTTAAGGAATATATTATGAAATGAAGATAGATGATTGGTCAATAACTACTGTAAAATGATTGGCTAAGGAGACATTCAGGAATATACTACTGTACATTAATTAAGTAGCTAAAAAACAAATCAGAAAAACATGGAAATTTATAGGAACGCTTAGGTAGATTCACACTGTAATCATTGATTGATACTTTAGAAATCTGAAAATTTCTTATAATGTAAAGAGCATGTTGACGAGGTGTTTGATTTTAAATGAGTACTGGAAAAATGTCAACTCGTGTGAACAACGTTTTGAGAACCAGAAGGTTCATTCATACGCAATATTTATGTGTATTTAGGTAGGATTTTAGACCTTCTGAAATTATGGACAGTTTAGTTTCTAGCATATCAAATTCTTAAAAACATATTTTGCCATGAAATGAATTAGTGACACTTCTGCTGTGTTTAGTTTTCCGGTTTGTCTTTTTTTTGAAACCAGATTGTCTAACTATGTAGATAATTTTGAAGGTTACTTCTGGTAAGGCTATGCTATCAACACAATGTACATCTAACACTACCTGTTCTTGTGAACTGAGTTATATGGGCATAATTCCTCCCAAAGCACTTCCGAACACTAACATTCTGTAGAATATGAAACAATCAATAGTTTTATTTTCATACACTTAGTCAACTCTAATCAATTGTTTGATGAATATCTATAAATTTGTATCCGTGCAGCTCTATATGCCAAAGTAGCCACTTATCTCACACATGAAGTGTAGAGAAATAATTATAAATATTTGGTTTTGAAGCCTTATATTAATTGTGTCTTAAGAATATATGTATCTGGAGAGAAAATCAATTTATCCTTTTTTCTTAAATTATTCAGGATTCTGTGCCTTGACTTTAATACAGAAATTTTGTTGAACTAAACGGATGAATGGTCTTTATCAGAAAAGTGAGTACGAATTTCTGCAGCTCCAGTAGAAATTGATCAATGATAAGTTGACGTCAGCATCTCAGTTTAATTGAAGGTAAATATATAAATCATTGTATGTTATTTCAGTGACCTGAACATTAAGTGCTAGCAGAAAGTCCATATGATACTGGGTTCGATCGCTGGTGAGATTGTTGATGATTATTATTAAGAAATGCTAAAAGAAAAAGAAACAAATACTCAGTGCATTCTGGTTTTCAAAGGTTTCCTCACTACAGACGGTTTTTGATAATGAAGCCATAAGTTCAATACTATCTTCAACCGTTTATACTAACAAAAGTTTAGCGGTAAAATTTATATAAATAATTTGTAATTATAGAGATTCAAAATTACACAGTCCCTTAGTAAAATAAATTGTTTGCACATCTTCCTCCTTCATCATTCTTTCAACTGTTTCTATTCTGACTGCTATCTGATTCCTTTCCTGTTCTCTTCAATTCAATCTTATGCTGGAAGGCATTCCACTTCTTACTGCTGCTGCATATTATTTATTATATGTCAGTATAAGTAGCACACACCACAATTGGAGATGAAGTTCTTAAGCTTGTTTAGTGTGAGATAATGGGTGTGAATTGTTGAATAATAGTAAATTAGATTACAAAAAGTTGTTTAACTGTTCTTCAGTTATTATCACTCTATGACGAAACATACTTTTAAAAGTGAATCATATATATAGAGTGCTACTGAGATGTTTTTATGGTCTATCTGATAGAAAAGAGTAACAAGGGTAAGAAACTGATCAGTTTATTAGCATAATTCTAGACTGTCAATGAGCTTGTAGTTTAGTAAAAAAATGAAATCGATATACTGCGTCAAATAAACAAATAAATATAAAAAGAAAAAGGCTTACTCTCAAAATTAACTTTGACCAAGGTTTAAAATTAATTATTTGAGATATTAATACCAGTATCGGTCGAAGTGTAACTGACACAGATATTCAGTCATCCATCTTGTATAACAGACTTGAAAATATTTGTGTATTTGCACCTTTAAATTTGTTCCATAATATCAGTAGACATACGTTGTAAACTGTTCAGATAACGTAATCGGATGTTTATGCTCTCTACTGCCTTGATGTGGAAAACCTAGTATAAAGTCATTTGCGTGTGTAAAACATAATCATTTATATCAATCTACCATTATCTCGACAGTGGTTCAATTCACTAGATGTTATAGATTGAAGATAATTAAATGAATGCTTTGAAAGAAGGGGAGTTGATACCGAATAAGATGTTACGAAATAATTACTTACTCCTGTTACTTCCAATGGAGCATAGACTACCGACTAGCATTCTCCAACCCACTCTGTTCAGGGCCTTCCTTTCTAGTTCCATCCTATTTTTGTTCATTCTTCTCATGTCTGTCTCCGTTTCTCGGCGTAATGTGTTCTTCGGTCTTCCTCTTTTCCTTCAGACTTGAGGATCCCATATAAGGGCTTGTGAATAATCTGATTGTATTTGGGTCACAAAGTCGAAATCAGTATATTTTCTCGTAAGCTAGGAAATTTAGATAATTTCTGGGCGGTTCTCAATTGACAAAACTGTCATTTTCTATTGAAAATCAGGGTACATGACTTAATCTCATAGATACTCAAGAGCTGACATTTATTAAACAATATATGAAAAGTAAAGAATATAGACTTGTGATAAGTGAAAATGTTAAAATAATTTTTTAATAAATGACAAGAGATAGTTAGACTTTTATTGCTGATATAAATTAAGAGATTGTATGTTGTTTGGAGTTCTTCACCTAAGATACATTAATAGAAATATTCTGTTACGGACACACTTGATTATTTATCGAAATCTGTATCATTGGCCATCTGCAGTGAAAATTTAAAAGCCACATCGGAATATCACAGAGATAGTAATAGTGGGGCGTAGATCTTACGAATTTCAGAACATTAAAAAACCAGAGGTTTTCTTCAATACATGAAACAATTAACGGCTTTTAACAGTCGTTACTAATAGTATCTGGCCGGTACTTTTGTTTGTGGCACGAAATCAGAGTAATAAAATGCAATTATTTCTATGATACAACCTTAAAATCAGTTAAAAGAAATCCATTTAGTATTGTTTGCTTGAATCTTCCCATTGATGGTTAGGACTTCAACTGACCAGTTTTTTATTGGCATATGTACATCCTGTGAGGATTGTCTCGATATTACTTTAAGTCATAAGCATTATGAGCAAAGATAGATGGTGGCTAGCAGTGGAATTCAGGACGCGCGTTTCATCCCATTGGGGACTCGTTAGCTGGATGTACCTGCATCCCAGAGTTGATATTCACTCGAAGACTCGAACCCAGAACAGTTAGCTCCAAATAGTGCTAGCCACCATCCATCTTTGCTTATAATGCTTTTGACTTCAAACCAAGGAGGCCTAGACAGTTACTTCTTAAACATTCGAGATTTCTCAACAAATGTTATAACGCCCTAAAGATTTTTTATTCCTATATCTTATACTCAGTCATAAACCCTGAATTAGGACAAAACAATTGTCTAGTTTTTACTGACTCAGCTTCTGACCTCAAATTGTAATAAAACTCAAAATATTAATAATAATTGGTAATCCTATGTATTTTGAAAACTAAATTATAGAACATGTATGCATGAACTAAAACTGTAGTTTATTTACGGTTACATCCAATGGTTGAACTGAAACAGTATGTATACAGTAAGAAATATATTTAAAGGTAATTTCTATGTTAGCAACTTTATAAAAAGGCATCGGAACTTGAAATTATCTCGAAACTATTACTCACTAAAATGAATTATCGACATGATAAAGAACATAATAAACAGTCGGTAACATAGATCAACACTGTACAAAATTTGAAAATGGATTTGATCGTATAAAATAGTTGATGTGTGGGCGAGAATGATTAGGATTGGTTGTCTGCTTAGTCATACATTTAGATAGTCTGACAGGTGCCAGATAAGTTATATATTCCCCTTTCCTTATAATTATTAACATTGATTGTTCATTGTTGTTGGATTGTGTTGGGTTTTGGTGTGGAAATATATTCACGTTCTAGTCAGGTTAATCACGTGTTCGTGATCTGAGTTGTGCTGATGTCCTGTAGAATAGACACTGGAAGGGAATCTAGTGTAGATATTCGTATAAGGTAAATTAACGTCCCGTACGTGTAAAACCAATCGTTATAACAATAGTATTCATTAAAAATTGTGGTAAATAATTATTTCAGTTATGGTTACGCCATAATACAATGTAGTACTGCTAACCTTGAGTTGAAAATTGTTCATTTCTTATTGTCATATTTTGTTAAACTGTGTTTGATTGCCTCATAAGTAATTCGTATAACTCCAGGATCCGAACCTAGTACCGTTCCCTTCGAACTCGAACCCAATGCTATCCACCACCCATTTTTGCTTATAGTGCTTGTGATTAAAGACAGTATCGAGACAATCCACACAGGATGCACATATGTCAATAAGAGACTGATCAATTGCAGTTTTAAACTTCAATGGATAGATACAAACAGAAAATACCAAATGAATTTAGGCTTCACCCCACTGCACAAGCAAGTGGCTATCAGGACTCGGTTGCTAAGTGGATAATGCAATGAAGTTCGAAGTAAGCGTTACTGGGTTCGAGTCTCGAATACAGGTACACTAGCTGGTAAGTCATAATTCCCATAAATATAAGTCAATTTGTATCATTTCTATTAATAATGAAAAATCTCGAAGGTAGTCACATGAATGTACTAGATACATCGTGAAAATCTAGATTGTTTTTCTCTCTTTCATCAGATCAAATTTCTGATATACAGCCTATCTATCATTGGAAAAATAATAAGTTTATTATCTTAATCAAAACAGCAGTAACAACATAGAACTATGAACCAGATTTGTATACAGTGCGAAAGAGTATGGGATATGAAATTTAATTAGATTCAGATGTTCTTTTACAGTTCGAATTATAATTGGTAGATTTATATTTATAAGGAGATAGGTGTTTTTAGTATATCGATGTATAAATTACGAGGTTTTAGTAGGTAAAACAAACAAAATCTACCAACTCCTTTCAGAAAAAAAATTGGACAGTTCAATGCCCATAAGGTTCGAATGTATTTTTGTGGTGAGAAAAAGTAAAATTAAGTAGAATTGAATTTAAATTGAATAGAATTTCCATCCCTCATATATGATTCATTCAGTGTAGATTTTATTGATGAAGAGAAGAAAAGGAACAAAACAATGCACTTATTACTTTACACTGACTGATCACTAAGCAGTAATCAATATCATGACCATTTATTTCTCTGTTGATCGAATTCCATCGAACAAGGTGACTTGTGAGAAATAGTATTAGTGGCTCAATGTCTTATAAACTATTTTTTGATAGTGCAAATATTCGGAGGCAATCGG